TATTCCATTGGCCGTCAAAGGAAACTCAGAAAATGTCGACTGGGACCCTTATTACATAATGTAGAAAAGGTAATTAATATTCTTAGCTGTGCTTGACATGCTTTGCAATGCCTTTTTTGTCAGAATCCTTGGCGACCGCAAACATCACAACTCACCAAAGTTTCGTCGTAATAGCATAGGAACGCAGTTAGAACGCATATGGGTCAAAAGAAACATTCACAACGCAAACTAATGAGAAGTACTAGCGCATTTTCAGAGGTTTTACTTAGTGCAGTAATCCCCATTTACCATTCGAGGTGCAAATTATGATCATGAAGCAAGATCCTGCTGGTGCTACCCATCTCCTGTTTAGAACAAGACTGACGCCCATGAGAAATATATACCTGAATAAGTACATGAGAAAATTATATTTGTTTTCTAACGCTGAACAAAACTGGGTCGCCCATGTACTTGTTTATGAATTATTTTATCACGTGTTATTTCTATAGATTTGACTTCATTTTTATTTTTCAGAGAAATGTTGGCAATATAGATGATAATGCAAATCTAAGTTTCGTGTATTTATTGGATGATAGTGATATACTGCATTATACGACTAAAGCAACAGAAACACTGCAGCAGTATGGTAACACCGTTTTTTTTTCGTGGAGAAGTCCTTCAATATATTTACATACATATATATTTATTTTTCTTACAGTCTAAAAATTCTGCCTATTTCGGGTTCAGTTACCCTCTGTCGCCCTTTACGACACCCACGGGACGTTATGTGGTAGTGGATATTCTTACATTGTCACTACATGGTTAACAGAATCACAAGAGTAAACACGGTTAAAGCTAGAAAAAAGTGATCTTATCCCAGAATCGATAAAATTTAATATAATCGGCCCATTTTACTAGTATATTTATTCTATTTCACGATGAAGTTTTGACTTCAGTTGTTGCTAGCCGTCCACATACACATTGTGTTAGTGTGCGTAGGTTGCGGGCGCTCGGGAGTAGCACTCCTGAGGCATACGCACACTAACACAATGTGTATGTGCACGGCTAATCACAACCAATCATCGTGAAATAGAATAACTTTATAGTTATTTTTTACTTTTATAGTTATTCTATTTCACAATAAAGTTTCTTATAAAGATATCATATTTTAATCTTCTGAGGTGACAACGCATCTGCATCTTTCTTTTTAATCGAGGATAAATATATAGGTGTCTAAATGCCACAGCTTCCATATACTGGTCTGTATGCTCGTATGTCACCTTTAATTAAAAAAAAAAACGATCGATAGGAAATTTGGCGGTTTCGGTACCTGATTTACCTTAAATTCCTTTCCACGTTTCGGATATGGAGTGTGATATATTTTCTTACGCCGTTACCAAATGATGGCACATAACTGTTCGTAATCTACAGTAACAATAATAAATCGTTACTCACATTGTAGGCCCAAAAAAGGAACAACTCTATCGCATTAAAATTTTTAATAACAAAATCGAAAAAATAATAGCTGAAAATGGCCATTTAGTACTCAATTGTACCGAAATAGCACTGGTATCGAAAGTACAGTGGTATAAAAATAATGAACTACTTAATTCTTCATTAAGGTACTTAATTATAAAAATTATTAATGATTTAAAAATGATTTGTTATCTTTCTAAAGAATTTGATTTTTAAAGACATAATATAGCTGAGGCCGAAAACGAACCTCACCTTACTATTGATGCTTATAATAGTTTATATATACTACAAGCAACTAAAGAGGAGGAAGGTATTTACACGTGCTTTATTAATGGTAGACAAGTACAAACATACTTTGTGAAAGTTGTATCAAAATCTAAATTGCTAAATCAGGGTACGTAAATCAAGTGCTTATTTATCTTTACTTTATCCTGGTAATCTGTAGTCAGGCATTAATTATGTCTATCTCAGGCACCAGCTCCTCACATATACCGGACTACTAATTAAGTTAAAAAAAATATTACTAGACCATACGTTCTGGATTGTGTGAGGAGAAAATAAACATATTATTAAGTCTATTTAATTTCTTACTTTACTCACATAATGTGGCCTTGTTTTTATAATACCTCATGTATTTTTATTTAATTGCAGAGTTTCTTAAATATTCCATTTATCTGGGATTTGTATTATCTCTCACGATAACCTGCTATTGTGCTGGAATATGCGTTGCATGGCACCAAAGAAACTCGTTTGCTGATCCATTGTATTTAAATTTGAACAAAAGATAAAAAAATAAATAAAAAAAGTAAATTTAAGGATGGTGAGTTTATTAGCTTTATATCATGTTTTATGCAGAGTAAGAAACTGCATATGCGATATTTTACAAGTTGTCCGTAAAGAGTTTTGCCCGTTTAAGGAATAAACGACAAGAGCTGCTCCGGAATGACTTCACTTTTATATGACTTTGAAATAATAGTTTTTAAGGATCGTTGCAATGTTTAGTCTACCACATCACATGCATCTTTACTAGTGAATTTGAATCGATTATAATTACACCATCACTTGATTTTGAAAGAAACACACATAACCACTCAAATAATTTAATGCTATTTTATTTTCATTTTGACGTCGATGTTGAGATGTTAACACTAGGAGTAAAAGTGTTCTGTGACGGTATCAATAAAGAGTTTATATTAAATCCATCATGCCTTGCAAATCAACGTCATACATAATAACAGAAGTGTGCTTACACTTTTACTTGGCATAGTATAAAGTTTATAACTTTATTGTGGTATAAACATTTCATTGATATTTAATTGACACGCATGAATTACACACAACATGTACTTATGCACTTAATGCTTGTCTGTTTCTGCCCTACTTGATAACTGAAATATAAAAGCGCGATAAGTTTATTGTCCAACTGCAGACTAACTCTATACTTTAGTCACGTTAAATCATGACCCTTGAAATAGAAGATCATTCTCCAGACTTGAGTAAAGAAATGTGTTGTTTTTCATGCCTATAGCGCGTCGTAATTTGGGCTAACATTGCAATTCGGGTAGTTTTACAGTCCCTTCAGCAGTGCTAGGTTGATTGTCAATATATCAAAATTCTATAGTTTTTGTACAGTAAGGCTACGATGGCTATCCGAAAACAAACACAGACAGAACCAGAGTACGAAATCTATCAAACTGCAGAGAAATCACAGAATACATAATAGTACTACGTAGAGAGATGCAAGGCAGGGTGACGTTACATCAGTAAGTTGGGAGTGGCAATGAGACGGCTATAATATAATTCAGCTATAAAACCGACAACCCATGGGATCGAAAAGTTCTCGAATGGTAGCTTCTCACAAGTAAGCAAAATGTATGCCCCCCCCCCCCCCCTCCCCACTAGATGGATGTACGGGTCATAGGATATCGTTGTTTTTGGCATTTCAAATAAGTATTGACATATGAGTAAAGAAACCGACCAGAGGGGAAGCTACATACAAACGGCTCGCGGTGAATACACCCATACATAGCCCAGCGAAGTGTGCGTGAGCTCTCACCGACAGGTTCACCGACGCTCTGTCGGGGTACAAACCGGTTTGCGCCGGCTCAGTCAGAGTATCCATGAAAGGGCTGTTAGTCGTACGCATTTAAATAAATAGACCAACAATATTTCGACATTTTATACATCAATTAATTTATTAAGTTTTTTTGCAATTATTAAATAATTAGATTTAAGTATTTTAATTAAAATAATTAAGAATTAAGTTATTATAAATTTATATGGGTAAATAATAAGTGTTTTGTATAAGCAAAAATGTCTAATAGTTGTACAGTATACATGAATAATTCTAGAGAAAATAACGATATTTCCTTTTTTGTACCCTAGAGATCAAGTGAACTAAGTACCTTTTTACGTATTATATACAATAAAACTAGGTAATGACATTGATAGGTAAGTGAGAATGTGTTAGACAGGTACGTCGCCGAGTGATGAAGTCGGTCTCACCTACTTGAAACGTTAGTCAGATTAACCTTGACAGTGCCGCAGAGGGCAGGATATCTTACGTAATAAGGCTAAATGTGTGACTTTATCCACCCACTTTAGTATAGAGGTAGGTTGCTTCCTGGGGAAGGATATAAGCTACTTTCTGCGAGTCGCGAACCTAGGGGTAAATACCACTGCATTATGGTTGGAATACAATCGCCAGATATTGGTGGTGGTGGTGGGATTGGTGTTGGTGGAAGTGGTGCTGGTGTTGGTGGATAGTGTAGCTGATGGTGTCAGTAGTGGTAGAGGTGGTAGTATCGTAGGTAGTGGTAGTAGGCAGTGGACCAACAGTGGCTCCATCACCACCACCATTTTTTCCTTAAATTTTTCACATGCTTTATGTGACAACCCTATCAGAATAGGTATACATTTTCGACGTTGTTAAGAAGCTTCCCCTCTGGTCCTTACTCTTTACTCTGTGGTATTGATGTGCTTTGCATCAAATATTTAGAAGCCAAAATTTAGAAATAATTTTGTTAAGGAAAACATGCGTAAAGTACAGTTTGTAAATTAGACCCGGTTACGACAATACGATAATATTATAATGTAAGGAAACGGGAAGAACATTATGAGGCATTACAACTTTACACCATTCGAGGCGAAGCGGTGAGGGTCGGTTGTGGAATGATAATATGAGATGCTAGCTTTTGCATGTAAACTTATTGACTGACTCTATTTATAAGCATCCCTAGTAATTCTTTGGTTATATGAAACACATTGAAACACAAATATCTAAGTATTCAGAGTACCCAACTGATGTATGTGTGCTTCACACTCGGAGAGTACTTTGCGTATTTCCGAAATTCAGATTTCACACTTTATAGTTTACAGACATCAAAGAATGTTTTGTGGTTATTGCTAATCAGTTGTAATTAACAGTCATTATGACTATAACGGTATTAACAGAGAAAATAACATTAAACAACAGGTTCTTTCTTCACTGACAATTATATTTTTATTCTATGCGTAGTTGTGGATCGTGGTGTTGTGTCAAAGTTGTCTTGTCAAAATATTTTGCAAATGAACTCGATATCGTATCTTTATGTGAGTGAAAACACAAAATGAATAGCTTTATAAGTTGATGTCAGTGTTTTAGAGATACATATGATAAAAATAAATAAGAATGAATTACAAAACTATTTTTCTGTGTTCGTTAATGGGAGTCCTTTTGATAAAGGAAGCGAATTGTAAGTTTTCTCTGTTATTAATTTTATTAACACGGATGTGTAATTCTCAAGGTAAAGTGAGAGTTTGAGTTGAAAAATATCTTAGGATTGTAGAATGTCGAAATAAATTTATAACTATTACTCACTTTATTTACTCTAGAATCAACAAAAGAATATAAAAATGAAAAATAGAACAAAGTTACACAGTGTTACATGTCAGGCTTGTAAAAGTGAATGGTAATCACCTTAGTCTCAGCTTAACTATTATTATTTCTGTGATTAGGTGTTTCAGCTTGTGATACTTAAATTTTAATATAAAATTTATATCATATTTTAAAAGATTCTGTACAATAGAAAGCTATATTGTGTCAGTTTCGCAGAATTTTCTCCATTGAAATGAGAGCTTATATTTCTTTTGCAGGTTGTACTCATCCTAAGAAATAATATCACCGAATTTTCTTTTATAGAAAGTATGGAAGACATAAAAATATTAGAGAAATTGGCTATTACTGTAATATATTACTCATTCAAGTTAGTGTCAACTGATACAAAATAACTAGTTTACTTTCTATTGCAATCACATGTACAAACATGGAAAACCTTTTTACTACTTTGTGATATGGCATGTATTAGTTGAGTAGGTTCTAAAGTAATTTGTTATTTAGTTTTGATATTTATATGTAGAAACCTAAAGAACCATCACTTATGTATTCAGAAGCTGGTTGTTTTTGTTGTTTTTGTATTTTCTTTATAAATTATTAAGTGTCATTGGCAACTTCTTCTTTTAAATTATGGCTAAATTATGAGAAGTAAATAATTATTATATTAAGAGTTCTCAATTTTATGATTAGATTCACAATCTACAACAGAATATGTCAATTAGCAACTTTAATCTTGAATTGTTATAACTTATTAAATTACAATAAATTAATAAAACTTAATTAGAAGGAAGCCCTCTGTAGGTGAAAGAGAAAGAAACCCATTTTTAGAAATAATGACAGGCACAAATTTTATTATCATACCACCCCACATGCCTTGGTCCGCTTAGTACTTATAATAAGGTTTTTTCTGATCCATAAGTACATACTTTAATTAGAAAGCACCAGCATGGTGACAAGTTCTTCAGACACCGATATTGCCATCCTTTAGGATGTATCTCCACATACAAAACCCTTAATTTTCCTGAAAAGTTTGATGACACATAGCCAGTGAAAAAAGTGACCATTAAGCTTCTAGTTTAGTGCCAAGTCCTGCTATTGCCTGCTGATTTAGAGGTGTAAGCCCTTTATAACATGAAATGACGTCTTTGTGCTATATCCAATCTAGACAGGGATTAATTAGGTAGGCTGTAAAGTTTGCAATCCAGCATGCAGCTGCACTTGAATAGCCACACCCACCATGACTGCATGTGCAGCCTCACTACTGTCAATTTTGGTGGATGCATGGATGGCTTTTTTTTGCACCAGTGCATTTAATTTGATTTTGTCTACTTGTGTCTTGCGTATGCCAAAGATATACATGAGGACAGGCATGACCTAACCGTTATTAGCGCGTGGCTTACTTATGACCTAACGAAAGGCTGTAAGTATTTCTGTGTATATGTGCCTTACATGTGACATGCCCAGGTCTATGCCCTCAGAGTTTGTGTCCTTAAATCTTTAATCACCTTGCCTATTACCTCGTCCATGAGGAGCGATTGCTTGGTTTTTTTTTATAGGAGAGGGGGCAAATGAGCATGCGGCTCACCTGATGGTAAGTGACTACCGCCGCCCATGAACAACCGCAACACCAGGGGTGCAGATGCCTTGCCGGCCTTTTAAAAAGGAGTAGGCTCTTTACTTGAAGGTCCCTAAGTCGTATTGGTCCGGAAAAATCGCTGATGGTAATCGATTCCACAAGGAAGTTGTGCGAGGAAGAAAACATCTTCTAAATCGCACAATGGAGGACCGCCAATCATCCAGATGGTGTGGATGGTATCGGGAGTTCTGCCGCGATGTGCGTTCGTGAAATTTGGAAGCTGGGATTAATCCGAACAATTCCTCAGAGCACTCCCCATGGTAGATGCGAAAGAAAATGCAAAGGGATGCAACATCTCTTCGCAGTGGCAATGAATAAAGCCGATCGAAAAGGACTGGGTCGTTGACGATTTGAGCCGCTGTGCGCTGGATACGGTCAAGTGGAAGGAGCTGGCACTGGGGAGTGCTTGCCCAGAGATGGGAACAGTATTCCATGTGAGGCCGAACCTGCGCCTTGTAAAGTTGACGGTGTGCCGGCATGAAATACTGTCCCGCTCTGCTGGGCACGCCAAGCTTTTTAGAGGCCAATTTGGCCTTCTCTTCCAAGTGACCACGAAACTGCACGTCACTCGATATGTCGACTCCGACTTCCGATACTGGCTGAGGCAAGAAGGGGAGTGCCTTGAAACTGAGGAGATACGACAAAGGGGTTCTTTTTAGCGGTAAACGCGCAAACTTGTGTCTTCTGAGGATTAAACTGGACTAGATTTAGTCGCCACCAATCCGAGACTTTGTTCAGCAAAGACTCGACTCAAACACAAGTTTGTTCCGGTACTCTGCGACGTTTTCCCGAGAAATATTAGCACGGCCGGTGTATAGAGCATCACCAGTGCTGTCATCCACATAGCAATGAATGTTACCAGTTAGCAACATATCATTGATATGCAGAAGAAACAGCGTTGGTGATAGCACACAGCCTTGTGGAACACCAGCGTTAGTAGAACATGTACAGAACATGCATAGTCTACTACGACCTTGATGTTCCGATCAGTAAGGAAACTGGTGATCCATTTGCACAATTTCTCTGGAAGCCCATAGGAAAGGAGCTTCGAAAGAAGCGCTTTGTGTCAGGCCCGATCTAAGGCCTTCGCTATGTCCAAACTAACGGCCAACGCCTCCCCCTTGGACTCTACTGCCTCTGCCAATCTATGAGTCGGGTAGACCAGAAGATCACAAGCTGATCGACACCGACAAAAACGGTGTTGGCGGTCACTAATCACCTGGTGATCCTCAAGGTATCTTATGACCTGGCAGTTTATAATGGACTCCATTATTTTGGAGAACAAGGAGGTGATGGCGATAGGCCTGTAGTTGGACGGGTCTGAGTGGTCGCCTTCTTTAGGGATCGGGTGGACGAAAGCTGCCTTCCATAATTCGCGTCTACGCGTTGGGAGTAGGAGTACCGGAAAAGACGCGTTAAAACCGGTGCCAACTCCGGAGCACACGTCTTCAGCACAATGGGAGGGACTCCATCATACCTACTCGACTTGCTGCCGTCCAGTGAGCCTGAAAATCCGGCATGGAGCATTCACACCGCTAGATGATCGGCTGTGTTCCCGCCGTCATCGAGATTCAAGTTGGATGCAAATAGAGACCTAACAGATCGGTTTTCTCCTTTACGGCATGGGCCAGTGAGTCGTCCTCTCTGTGCAGAGTTGGAAGAGATGACTGAGAAAAGTTCCCTTGGATAGCCTTGGCGAGAGACCAGAATGCACGGGTTCCCGAAGGAAGGTGAACTAGCTTATCGTAAATTCTGCCGATGTGTTCAGATCTTGCCTTGGCAATTACTCTTTTAAAGGACCTGGAGACGAAATTATACTTATTTTTAAGAGCGCTGGTGTTTATATCCCGAGACGTTGATGCGTCAGCCCAGGCCCGGTAGCACTCCTGCTTGTAGCGTGATGCTATTTTACAGGTGCGAACAAACCATGGCTGGGATTTGCCTCCGATAGGCACCACAGAGGTTGAGAAATTTAGAAATAATTTTGTTAAGGAAAACATGCGTAAAGTACAGTTTGTAAATTAGAGTAGGAGTACCGGAAAAGACGCGTTAGGACCGGTGCCGACTCAGGAGCACACGTCGTCAGCACAATTGGGGGGATTCCGTCAGGCCCACTCGACTTCTGGATGTCCAGGGAGAGGAGTACTTTGCGAACCGAGCGCTGTGAGAATAGCACATCCGGCATGGAGCACTCACACCGCGGGATGGTCGGCGGTGTTTCCCCCCCGTCATCAAGAGTCGAGTTGGACGCAATAAGGGAGCCTAAAAGTACGGCTTTGTCTTTTGCGGCATGGGCCAGTGAGTCGTCCTCCCTGTACAGAGATGGTAGTGATGGCTTACAGAAATTCCCTTGGACAGCCTTGGCGAGAGACCAGAATGCACGGGTTCCCGAACGAAGGCGAACAAGTTTCTCGCCAATTCTGCCCATGTGCTCTGACTTTGCCTTAGCAATAACTCTTTTGAAGAACCTGGATGCGAAGTTATACTTCTTTTTAAGTGTGCTGGTATTTACATCCCGAGTCGCTGAAGCTGCAGTCCAGGCTTGATAACACTCTTGCTTACTGCGTAATGCAGTCTTACAGGAGCGACCAAACCAAGTGGTTTCACGAACATCAAATCTTAAGTCTTCTGTAAGTGTGAAAAGTACGTAAGACTAGTTTCACATTATTCTACAGTCTATACTCTCTGTCAAGACATATTTCATTAAAGACAACTACAATAATAGAGAAAATTCTACCGACTTGATATATGAATATTTATGGAGAAGAGAAATTATAAGGAATAAAAGAGATCCTTATGAGGAATTAATAAAAAAAGAATTATGTTTACAGACAATAAGGAAATGATTATAATATACTGTTTTATTTCAGAAGTGTTTAAAACTGCCCAGAAATACTTGAACACCCAGAAATAATTTCAGTTGTAATAGCTTAGAAGGTTGTGGCGGGAGCGAAGGCAACCTGACTTTATAGATAAGATGATCGAATCTGTACTAAAATTAAACCAGCACGCCTCGACTCCACGTAGTCTTGTCTGCCCTACTCCTAGTGTAGTGTTTTTGTAAAGCCGTCCACCGTAGTAAATTAGCATGGGTGTCTGTGATTCGCTAAGCAAGGGCGAAGGGGCTGCACTTCCCGCAGCGCCGAAGCTATTGTAGAAGTAACTTACTAGGACTTTACGGACCGCCTCACTTATGTCGTCTGATCCATGAGTGTAATTCTTGCATAGTTCCTCGCCGCAACTTATGTCCTAAGTGCCGCGTTGTAGTTTTATGGGCTTTGACCAGAGGCTTTTCTTTACATGGGGGGAAATGCTTACGCTTACCTGTCTCACATGGGCAAGGCTGGGTTATGTTGGACTCGCACCAGATAAAACCTTCGCCGCATATTGCCAGGGCCACGGGAACGCTTACGCACATATCCGCGGCTTCAACAGCGATGGTCGCCCCATGGTAGCGCCTCCAGAACAGCTCCTCTTTTTTCTTCTTACGTAAGGTGCACCAGAACGCAAGGCGTGAATTCCTCAGCAACCTTCAACTTTATCTGGGCATACGCGGCGGCCATGGGGTCAGGAAAACGAAAAGGCGCATTAGTCAGAGCAGCTTATCAGCAGTAATTTTGTTTTCTTATCTGTTTCGGCTTTCATGTAGTTCTCGTGCTATGGGATGGCATTGTCAACCAAAAAAAATCCTTGGTTCCTCACCACAATACCAAGTTTATTCGCAAGAATAGTCCTGTCTGAAATGATGGCCGGGTCCCAGTAGAGATTGATGCGCTCAATTGCGAGCACGGTTTCCGACAAATAATTATAATAAGCCAATTTCCGATCCATGAAATCATACTTCTGTGTGAGCTCCAGGTGTAGACTCCTTGCAATTAGGTTGTGTCTATGCAAATACTTAAGTTAGAAATACTAAAAACTACTGGAGAATACCTAATACTTGACAGATGTCGGTCCTTTAGGATATATCTCCGATAGTTGTTGATCTCATTAACCTGATTCTGTGTTGCACAGACGAAACATTTGGTTTCCCTAACGATGTCTCTGAAACGTAGCAAGTTAGGGGAGATGACTGTGTCTATGAAATACATGTAGAGCCCTATAGAACCTCCAATAGAGTTTTGTACCATCGGCTTCTGCCATTGCTTGTTGGCTTAGGATAGAGCGGTAAGCCATATATCACCCATAACAAAGTCCTTGTAACTGTAACATCACCTATAATGTTTACTCACGATTTTGTCTCAAAGTTACTATTATTTATGCATTTAGTGTTTTTTGTCGCAGCATTTTCATCGGTCTTATGTTGTTTTTTGAGCGCATGGCAAACAATAATTTTGCTTGTTATACATATCATGTATGTATATGCAAATCCAACTGAAGTGTCGGCTAATTTTCATTTTTACATTTGTTAGAATTTTATAACAATATACCAGCTTTTTGCTTATTTTGTTATGTGTTTTCGTTTATTTTTACGGTTTATTGTTTGGTATGGTTGTAATTATACTTTATGTAAATTTTGCAGGTTTGCATAAGAGATGCATTAGATGCAGGTCAAGAGGAGAGCTGGGGTCATGCGGGGATCCATTCCCTTTCAATGTCACAGAACCAGAAGTTGAGATGGGTATACATGTGGTAGCATGCCCATCAGGTTGGTGTGGCAAGTCGTTTGAGGGCAACATTGGAGCTTTTAAAAATGACGGTATGTTATTAGGTATAGGCTTGGCTGCGAAACATGAAACATGAAGACAGTCACATAATCGAACCGTACAATAAGAAATTTGTAGAAATGTATACACCCGTTGGGATTTTGAAGTGTAATTATAGTCACATACTTTTAACCCCTAAATTCTGGTGTCATATTTACACCCCAAGTAATGGCTATTGAGGATAATGATAAGATATTTTGTTTCCAATAAATGGATCCATGTTTCCTTACTATGTGACATTTACTTCATTATTATAATTTACATGACAGTAACATAATGTTTAAGGGTATAGACTGCAAAACTAATGTGGGTTTAAGTTTGCTAGAAATTTTCTGGACTAATAATTGAGTAACAATCGATTTTATTAATATTAATATATTTATTTTTAGCAGCCGAGTTGTACATGAATAAATTTTTAATGTTAATACTTCTTACATATTCATTAATAACAGCCTATCAAAAGTTCACTGCTGAACATAGGCTTCCCCTATAAATTGCTTCATAGGTGGGATATGTCACGCTTGAAAAACGGGTTGGCAACTACAGTTAGTTATTTTTTTTTGTGTTGTTATCAGGAAGATGCTGCTGCCCATCACTTGTTGCATTTCCCTTTGTTGTCTCTTACGGCAACCACGGAATGATATGGGGTAGTGGATTCTCTTGCACTTCTACTATATGGATAATTACTTTAATTTTTAATATTGTAATTAATACAGCTTATACACACTCGCTTCTAATTCTGAGAGAGTTATGGTATGGAGTGTTTTGACAGACTTCAGACGTCCTCAAAACATTCTTCAGACATGCATGTTTCTATTTGATGTTTTTCTTTCACCGTCGAGCATGTGGAAATCAACACTCATATTGTAATTACAATTTCATTGGTGCCTGTGAAATTTACGGCGAGCCCAAGAGCTACCACGACTCGAGACTCTTAAGTTTGTGTCCAGCAGTGGGACGTATTAGGCTATAACTTTAATATTTTAAGATGAGGAGGAAGGATGCTTTGACTAAAGTGTAGCTAAATATCTGTCTTCAGATTATGGCGCAGCAACGGAAAGAATGTGTCTCCAGCGACCGCCTAGTGATTATGAAGAAAGGTGTGCTTATACCATGTGGGGCCACAGAAAAGTTTATATGTGTTTCTGCAACGGCGATCTTTGTAATTCTGCATTTAAGTTTTCAACAATCCCTTCAACAATACTAATAACCATTTTAGTTGTTGTTTACAACTTTTATCATTCCTAAATAATGTTTTTTAAGGATAAATTAATTGTGATATTTTAAATATGACATTGTTATTGTAATAAAAGTGAATCTCAATTTTTTATATATTTACATTATACACGTCACATTCATTTGTCATCAAAAAGTGTGACAAACAAGATATAATACGATTAATTATAGACGCGCCATTAAAGAAGCGTTTTGTAAATATCCGCCAGTTTTTGACGTACGGTCAGAAAAAAAACTAAATGATACTTTTTTATTTCAAAAGTTTATTTTTTATTTTACACCGACTTCATAAAATAAGAAGCTTCTCATTCTCTACGACTGTATTGTTATATGTATCATATGTACAAAACAAACAATTTGTCTGCGATATCTTCGCAGATTTTAAAACGATTTTAACGGTCTTTTTTTATTTGATAGATTAGGCCTTTAGGATGGTCCCATATAAATTTGTGCATGATCACACAACATAACAAACGAACACTATGCATGATCTTTTCACATTTTGGGGAATACATTGTTCGAGAAAAACTTTTCATAACAAAACAAATAGTAGCAATAAAAACAACATTAACAGTAAATATATGCTCATGGGTGTGCGAGAATGTTAACCGATATTGTGTAAGAGAGATAGCATGCTTCGGCTGGCATTTAAGAAACGTTTCTTTATTGGCGCTACTTATGTTAACAATTTGTTTGAAAAAAAAAAACAAGATTAATTCGTCTTATATAGCCCATGTCGAAAAAAAACCGTGGAATTGAAAAATGGCGTCCAAATATTATTTAATTTTGTATGAGAATTGCTTGTATTTTAATTATTGTTCTATAAATCCGTCCAATGTTGTGATGTTTATAAAATATACAATACACGTTAAGCTCTTGTTATCAAAACTGACGTGTTCAAACATTTCACTTACCATATAGCTATATATGTATGAATCTTGTGCTCGCACTACACAATTGTCTAACTTTACATTTCCATGAGTTTGACCGAATTGATTACGTTCCGTATAGACTACGCATGTTTTAAAAAATACAAGTGTAAATAAGAACGGTAGATGCTAATTATTCATTGAAATATATTATTCTAGGGTGTAGATTGTCGGTTCGTTCATGTTGGTTTTTGGTTGTTTCCGCCGCCGATTGCTAGATGCCCTCAGTCGAACTAGGTACATATATATGTAATAATTTAAAAAAAAACTTTGTAGAAACGAAGTTGTAAAATCATATACAGAAATAATCTCTTGTGTAGAGGGCAATTTATTTTGCTTACTCTACTCCTAACTAATAACTACTCCAATTGACTATCAGTCAAACTTTCGATGTAGTGTGTAGATTTACCGTCATCAACGGCAATCGCAAGGTGAATTCAGTCAAATTCATAAAATAATTATGGTAATTATGGTGCAGTTTCATAACGCATTATTAGAATCAGCCGTTATTTTGTGGAAACGTAATATATTATATATATTAAACGCATAAGACGCTTTGTATTATCTACTTTAATTCCATGTTTGTTAGTTTAAAAAAAATTAATTGCTCTATTGATTTAAGCAATTTGTGGAATATTTTTACATATCGTAACATAATTATAATTACTATTTTACTTTGACTCAACTAAATGATTCTCGTGGCTTTGCAAACCCTTAACATACTGTTCTATATTTATGAAAAGAAAGAAAAAAATTGCTTACAGTTTTATTGAAGACATTTATATCCTACTGTTGTTAATGTGTAAAAACCTGGTATCACGAATGTTGACGTTCATCACGATTTTATTTTACTGTGTTTTAGGGACAAAGAGATCTATATCATCTCGTAGATTATCGGTGATATGCGTTGATAAAGCCACAAAAGGTCGTTGAAAAGGAATACTAATTTAAAAAAATTGTATGCGTAGATGGATGTAAAGGAGGCGAGAAAGGAGTGTCAGGATTGTGCCAAATGGAAGTCCGTAGTCTCTGCCTACCACTCGGGTGACAGGCGCGAGTGTTTATGTATGTATGTATGTGTATACTCATTTATTTTTGCATTACTAGACTATATACGATATTTTTCACCAAATGTTTAAAACGTCATTGCAGGATTTTTGTGTGTCAGGCGATATATCGAAATATATACATAAAATTTATAAATCTAGGTATAGTTTTATAACAATTTGTTGTCTTCTATTTGAGTACTTAATAATGTTTATAATTAAATTAGTAAAAATCTCAACCTAATGTTCATGCTGACAATAAACTAGTCCTAAAATTAAAAACGTAAGTGAATTCTCTGTATGTGTAATGTTACCTTTGAAATATTACTTCATAGTATGAAAATAATTATAACAAGAAATATGATTTTGATCAATAATGCTTATTTACAAAAGGGCTTTGATGCATTCTGTGTTGGTAACAAAAACATGTAAGTACTTTCCTTAAGCCAGGTGTCACTAAAGGAACATATCCAATGTTATCATTTATTATTAAAGAAAAACCATATCTTGAGGTAATATTTTATTTTTTCAAATGCATATTATGACTTATGATGAGTATTTTACATTTTTATATTATAATATATAGACAATTTAAAATCCTAAATTATTTAGTTTTATTTTTCGTTGACGATATAATCTATGGGCGATTATACGGCCAGGTATGACGAATACTTCCAATACGATTTGGCTTCAGGTTGTTCTTGATTCTTAGATCCTGGTTTGCCAACAATGATTCGATGTGGGGGATGTCGTGGAAATAGAGCAAGCCGTGACGATTAGCTCTTCTTACTGCAGCGACAGCTTCCGAGCCTTCTAATAGGTATGGGTCAAGGAAATCATCTGAAAAATTAAATTAATATTTGAGCTTATGAGGACATCCGCAGTAGAACCAGAGTGACCGGCATAGCCCAATGGATTAGTAAGCTGAAGTGGCAATGGGCTGGCCGGCCATATAGCTCGAAGAATCAACAATCGATGTGGAAAAAAGGTTCTCGAGTTGCAGCCTCGTACCGGTAGGCGAAGTGTAGGGCGACCTCCCACTAGATGGAGACTCGACCTGGTAAGACAAACAGGAAGTCGATGGATGCAGGACCGTGCTTTGTGGCATTTCTTGGGGGAGGCCTATGTCCAGCAGCGGACTTGTGAAGAGCTGTAATGATTATGATGATGATAAATATTTGAGCTCTTACAATAGTTGCTGTGACATAATATGACGCCGCCGTGTAATGAATATCAACCGTGGATGTGGTAAGATGCAATAGAGGGAAATGTAACTAGAGATTGGCAGCAGCATCTTCCACAAACAACTCAAAATAATAAAAACTACGGTGGCCAACCCGCCTGCCTTACGTGGCAGATATGGCAAATATCCTACATATGAAGCTTCTATGGTGGAGGCTCGTGTTCAGCATTGGAAATTTGTTAGGTTTTATGAATGAATTAATGAATATGAAACGGTAGATATTGCTGCGTGCAGCATTTCCAGTACGAGGGTATCAATTCTGCGTTTACCAAGGCGCATGCCTAGCGTAGTGAGTATGGCCATATCTTTCTTACGTTCTGTATTGTGAAGCTGTTATACATAAGCTGCGCATGGACAAACCTTCATATCTGGAACCATTATTTGTAGGCTTCAAAATACGCAATATATGGGCATGCATTGCGTCAGCATTGCGGGCTTGGTTGCGTAGTGGTTGCGGCGCTGAACGGTCACAGCTTTTAATCCTGCACTATTGTTCTGGGTGTAGGAGTATATTCGCGTGCTATTTATGTGTGTATAACGCCTGTACGACTATAGGAGAAAATCCTTTATAAAATGATCACGTTGTTTAAAAAAATCTGAAAGGGGCCTCTTTAAGTTCGGGATTTTGACGATAGCATGTACAAAAATTACACGGTGCATGTTATTCTTTCCTAATTATTTGTGTTAGTAGTTAGGCATGCATAGCCTCACATTTGATACCATTGAGGTTTTTAAGTATTCTGTGGCTGATCCTGAGATTTCCCGACAAATTACGTTTATATTACTGTAATCGAAAAGATTTCAAGTTTTCTTTCTTAAATGGGAAAGTGAAAGAGTAGGCATTTGTTATAGGGATATTATTGTTATTTATCATCATCACAACAGTCCACAGATCCACTGCTGAACGTAGTACACTTCTCTGAGTTGTTATTATTTACACAACAGGGTCAACTTTCTGAGCATCCTTTTAATGATTAATTAGAGAACTATTTATATATACTTACTTAAAAAAACGAAAGTGATAAGACTTTTGCCCATCTGATGGTGAGTGCTACAGCCCATGGATATCTGCTACCAACTTCAAACAAAGAAAGCTACTGATGCGTTGTTACCTCTGAGGAATAAGATGTAACCCCTGAAAGGCTGTAATGAACGATGTAATTTATTACGATAGAGATAGAATTAAACCTTACTATCTAGCCTTCGCGATCCGAAGCGGGGTGGTTTAAACGGCGGCACGAACAGACCGTGGGGCCACAGGGACTCTGGATCCGGTGAATCAACCTTGTACGGTGATGGTGGCAGCAGCGGTATAGCTATATCTGGGTTAAAAATTATATTAATTATTTTAAAGGAATAACTATGCGAATACAATATAATTTTTCATATAGAAAGTCGTCCTCCATTTTCGGATTGATGAGGAAGAAGATTGAAAGTTTGCTCTTTTTTTAATTATATTTCAGCTAGAGCGAGAAACGCCTTATCTATTTTTCATTATGTACAGGTTTTGACCGGCCAGTGTATATCGTATAAATGCACGAATTTCTTAGTCAATCACTAAGGCGACCGTGGAATTTTAGTGCGACAAGACGCAATAGATTTTTTTTACTCCGGTTCCTGGGTATGTGCTCTAATCAATAAGTTGACCTAGAAGCTTCATTTGCCCTTTTCAGTCGAAGAGGAGTTCCGGAGGAAGGAGATAGAGATAGAGATGTGCCACGCTTCATATATCTATCATCCATGGACGAACGGTATTGACGGTGGCGGTATACACCCATTTTGTCGTTGGGACCGAGAAGACTGCTGATTCCAACGTTGTTTTCTAAGCCGCACGGCCTTCGTGTCCGAAATTCGTAGATGGAAATGAAGACCTAGCTAAGAATGCCTTTCTTCAGAGAGATCAGTGTGCGAGAGCGCTTTAGCACTATTATGTACTTTTGGTGAGCGTAAGGCGACCGAGCGGTATAATTTTTTTAAGGTTTTCCAATTTAAAGGTAAATTTACAGCCTACGTACGTTCCACTGTAAGGCAGAGACCACTTCTCATTTCTTAAAGTGTTATAGAGATGTTTTTCCGCCGCGTTGCTTTCATTTACTGGAAACATTTTTTATTTCGCGGACGTTACCCATACCAAAGGGTATGTAGTAAATCAGCACTTAAAGTTAACTCTTGGCAATAATGAAGTTAACAATTTGATTAGTGCTAAGGTGAATCGAATTCTGGTTTCTCGCGTATTATAAACGCCTATTTTTTTCAAATAGAAATAAGGGTGACAAAAGAGCACACAGCACACCTAATGGTCAGTGGCCCATAGGCAACTGCGCCTAAGAATCAAAATACTAAGAGTTGTTATACTCGTAACCTAAAGACAGGATGAAATGTCTCGTTTAAAATAAAAAGGGGTCCCAGTTCTCTTCTTTCACAATATGGAACACAGCAGCTGCTATTTTATATATTCTGTGTTCTTTCTGCGGTCGAAACGATTCATTCGTGCTACAGACATAAATTTAACAGTCACTAGACAGGGCTAGCCATAAATATTCCATATTTTTACTGCCGCAAGGTAAATAGCATTCTTTTAGAGCGTTAAGTTAACTAACTGTTAAACAGTTTCGAGTTTTATTTTCTTCTAATATCTTTTAAAGATAATGAACGAAGTAATCGATCATAAACTGTTATTACAGGTTTACAAGCAAAATAAATGATCTAACAGTACTTATGGAAGATAACCGAGAATTTCAGAGAGAAATTGAGAAATTACAACGATAAGCTTAATGACACTCTAAGTGTAGGTAATTTAGACCTATTTAAATTTATTAACGAGATTTTCGGGTTTGTTTATTATAATTATAATAAACCAAATTACTAAAGTGTCTTTTATGCAATCTCAAAACTAATTTTGATTGGAATATTATGTCCGTCAAATTACCGTAAACCAACAAATCAGGCGCCGAGAACGCTGACATTATTGCCTATTGGTATTGGTCTGTTATATTGCCTACGTTTGACTCATACTTTACCTCCTCTTTTTAAGACCTTTTGAAATAAAGGAGTATCATATCTTAGCATAATATCTTCTTGGACGCCCCGGTCTTCTGGAATACTACATTTCTATGTATAACATAGCCGTGTAGTGGCGGTCAAGAATATCCACTACCCCATATCCTCCCGTGGGTGTCGTAAAAGGCGACAAAGGGAAACAGGCAGGAGATGGGCAGCAGCATCTTCCTGATAATAGCCAAATTACAATAAAAAAACTGCGGTTGCCAACCCGCTCGCCAAGCGTGGCAACTATGGCAAATACCTCCCTATGAATGACAGTAACAAAAAAACGGCCCCCAGTCCCCGGCGGCCCCGCTATTCCTGGCTACGGTGGCGACCATGGTAACGGCGGGGCAGGGGGTGCTAAGAATCTCCGGTGGAGGATCGGTTGCCACCTTAGACGACTCGACCTGGCAACGTACAACGCACGCACCCTGAGGACTGACGAGAAGATCGTGGAGCTGGAAGAAGAGATAGACAAGTTGCGCTGGCATATTATAGGATTATCCGAAGTCCGAAGAGAGGGGGAGGACACGGTAATCCTCGAATCCGGCAACTTGCTCTATCACCGGGAGGGCGACCATCTGTCCCAAGGAGGTGTCGGATTTATCGTCCACAAGTCTCTCGTTAACAACGTTGTAAAGATTGAGTGTGGCGACGAGGGTTGCGTACCTTATACTCAGAATCACCAAACGGTATTCGCTGAAGGTCATACAGGTTTACGCACCAACCTCGGCATACCCCGATGAGGAGGTGGAGGAAATGTATGAGGATATCTCTAGAGCCATGCATTCCTCCAAAACCCAATATACGGTGTTAATGGGAGACTTCAATGCAAAACTAGGCACAAGAGAGAACGGTGAGCTGAAAGTAGGGAAATTTGGAATAGGGCAACGGAACCCAAGGGGCCAGCAGCTGGCCGACTTCATGGAGAAAGAGGGACTCTTTATGATGAACTCTTTCTTCCAGAAGCGTCCCCACAGGAAGTGGACCTGGTCGAGCCCCGACGGTTCCACAAAAAATGAGATTGACTTCATTATGACGACCAGACGACAACTGTTCAGTGATGTCTCCGTGATCGCGAGGGTGAAAACTGGTAGCGATCACCGAATGGTTAGAGGCACACTGAACCTAAACGTTAAGTTGGAGAGATCTCGTCTGATGAAGTCAACGCTCCGTCCCCCTCGTGCTCTGTTTCAAAGTCCCGAAACCTTTCAGCTCGAGTTACAAAACCGTTTTCAGTGCCTGGAAGACTGCAATGAAGTGGACGATATGAATGACAAGCTCGTGGAAACTGTCCATGCGGTCGGAGCTAAGTTCTGCAAGACCCGCCGCAGAAGAACACAAAAACTCTCCGATCACACTCTTAATCTCATGGCTGTTAGACGGGAGATGAAGCTACATTCTTCAACAGACTTGACAGCATACAGGCATCTGAACAGACAGATCTCCAAATGCATGCGGCGGGACTTACGCAACTTCAATACAGCTCGTATTGAAGAAGCGATCGAGCGGAACCAAGGCTCCAAAATCTTTGCCAGAGATCTGTCTGCCAGAAAGAGCCAACTGTCAAAGCTGAAGACAGAATGTGGCAGCATCGTTTCCGGGACACTTGAGATTTTGAGTGAGATTGAGAGGTTCTATGGGCAGCTGTACACATCATCGTTGGAGCCACACGCAAGTGTGAGTAACGATCCAAGAGCGAGTCTCATCCGACACTATTCCGAAGATATCCCGGATGTCAGTCTGAGCGAGATTAGGATGGCTCTCCAGCACCTTAAAAACGGTGAGGCCCCAGGCGAGGATGGAATTACAGCGGAGCTTCTGAAAGCGGATGGAAGACCGGTACTTGAAGTCCTTCAGAAGCTCTTTAATTCCGTCCTCCATGGTGGCATTACACCGGAGGCGTGGAGCAGAAGTGCGGTGGTCTTGTTCTTCAAGAAAGGTGACAACGCTCTCTTGAAGAACTACAGACCGATTTCCCTTCTGAGCCGCGTCTACGTGCTGTTTTCGAGAGTCATTACGAATCGTCTCGCGCGCAGACTTGACGACTTCCAGCCTCCCGAACAAGCCGGTTTCCGAAAGGGCTTTAGCACCATAGACCACATACATACCCTTCGGCAAGTTGTACAGAAGTCCGAAGAGTACAATTTGCCACTATGTCTGGCGTATGTGGACTATGAGAAAGCCATTGATTCCGTCGAAATTTGGGCGGTGCTGCAGTCCCTTCAGCGGTGCCAAGTTGACTGTCGGTATATCGAAGTGTTAAAGTGCTTGTACAGTAGGGCTACGATGGCTATCCGAGTACAGAACCAGAGTACGAAACCTATCCAATTGCAGAGAGGTGTAAGACAGGGTGACGTCATATCCCCGAAACTCTTCACCGCTGCATTGGAAGACGTTTTCAAGCTTCTGGACTGGAAAGGATACGGTATCAACATCAATGGCGAGTACATCACTCACCTTCGATTTGCCGACGATATAGTCCTTATGGCAGAATCGCTGGAGGACCTAAGCACTATGCTCAATGACCTCAATAGTGTTTCCCAACGGATAGGTCTTAAGATGAACATGGACAAAACAAAGATCATGTTTAATGTCCATGTCACACCTATGCCGGTAGTTGTTGGGAGCACTAAGCTCGAAGTTGTTGACGAGTATGTTTACCTGGGACAAATAGTCCGACTGGGTAAGTCCAACTTCGACCGAGAGGTCAATCGAATCAACTCGGCTGGGCAGCGTTCGGGAAGCTACGACACATCTTCTCGTCAGACATACCTCAAAACCTTAAAACGAAATTGTACAACCAGTGCGTGTTGCCAGTGATGACTTACGGAACTGAGACGTGGTCCTTCACTGCTGGCCGTGTGAGGAAGCTCAAGGTCGCTCAGCGAGCTATGGAGAGGGCTATGCTCGGAGTTTCTCTGCGTGATAAACTTAGGAATGAGGATATCCGCAGTAGAACCGGAGTGACCGACATAGCCCAACGGATTAGTAAGCTGAAGTGGCAGTGGGCCGGCCATATAGCTCGAAGAACCGACAACCGATGGGGAAGAAAGGTTCTCGAGTGGCAGCCTCGTACCGGTAGGCGAAGTGTAGGGCGTCCCCCCACGAGATGGAGTGACGACCTGGTAAGACATGCAGGAAGTCGATGGATGCAGGTGGCTCAGGACCGTGTTTTGTGGCATTCTTTGGGGGAGGCCTATGTTCAGCAGTGGACTTGTGAAGGGCTGTAATGATGATGATGATGATGATGTATAACATATTATATTTTAATTTTTACCAAAGTAGTTATGATGCAACAATGGTGCAACACTAAATGAATTATCTCGAACAATATCTTCGTGTGGAAACGGTATGGATGGCTTCACCCTTGGATATCCGAAATGTTCCGATTGCCTTGTTACTGGTCCTGAAATTAAAATGATATAAGTGAAATATAAAATATTAGAGACATTTGATTTATTTATATATCATTTTTATAAGTATGTCGCTTCGTATAAACAGCGTCGAGCCCCAGCCGTTTTACCACCTTCTAAGTGTTATAGTGATACCACATCGAAATCAGTCAATCGACAGTCTACCTTAAAGTATACATAATACATACATACATAAACAGTCACGCCTGTCACCCAGAAGGGTAGGCAGAGACTACGGACTTCCATTTGGCGCGATCCTACCTTAAAGTAGTATTTATAAAGTTGACCGGTGAGAATGTTTTAGCATCAAGTTTGTTTTTTAATCCTGTATTGCATAATTTGTAAAGTTCAAAAGAGATAAACTTCCATTTGGCACCATCCTGACACACTTCTCTCGTTCTTTCACATCCATATATCTACGCACACGCTCGTCAGTTAAATGTAGTCTTAATTTGACCCATACTATATGCCAATTTGGTCGATAAACTTCCGTCCAGGGCGAACCATATCCAAACCTCCGAAGCATTCCTTTCTTAATCCTTCTTACAACATTTTGCAAACTATATTTTTATTACAAAATGTCTCACCTTATAATTTGTGTCACTCTATCGTTTGTCATTTGCATTTGTGGCGAGAATTTTAAAGGATACTACAGTTCTTATGATTCTGATGGTGTATTTTCACGTGGTATTGCCACACTGCAGCTATATTATAGTTGCAACACGAATGGGTCGGCTCGACCGGGGAAGAATCACGCATCCATTTTAAGCTACGTAAACGTATTTTAACGCTGTACGGGATAGACAATCACGTACCCAGGATTTTTTGTTAGGGGAGGGGGGGGGGGGGGTCCAGGTCCAGGCAAATGGTTGAAGTATAGCATTAAAAGCCACATAAAAGTTGTATAAACATAGTATCATTTTCGGGAAAAGGCTCCAAGGGGTCCAGATCCCTCAGTCTGAACCCTTTGATCTCTACCTCCAAGGAAGTATTCAGAAGGGGCCCCCTCTGGATACTTCCTTGGAGGTAGAGACACGCTGACAGAAAACCAGCGTGACAATTGCAGTTTTCTTTATGTGGTGAAGTCATGCTGCAGCTATAATAGTAGTATAGTTTTAGCACGAATGGGTCGGCTCGACCGGGGAAGGACCACGCACTCACAGAATACCAGCGTAAAATAGCAGCTTAACGCTGCTGTGTTTCGTATGGTGAGTGTAGAGAACCGGAGACCCTTTTTACTGGAAATGAGGCATTCCATCTTAGTCCTCAGAGGTGACAACGCATCTGCATTTTGATTCGCAAACGAGGATAGATGTAGATGTCTATGGGAAGCAGTAGCCATTTATCATCAGGTGGACTGTGTGCTCGTTTGTCACAATCATCCTATAAAAATAAAAGTATAATATTGCTGTATATCGTATGGTGAGTGACAAGAACTGGAGATCCATTTTACTGGTAACTACTTAATTGATCTTTTTAAATTAAAAGGCAAGGGTGACAATGTCGTTGCATATTGAGGATGGACTACAATATTCACCATACTACCAGGTGGTAAGTACTGGTTTGTCATTCTTACTTTAATTTAAAAAGAAAACCTTATGCTGGCCATAGAACGGACCAGTAAGTTGAAGTGGCTATAGACCTGCCATATAGCTCAAATAATCGAAAACCGAGAAGAAAGGTTCTCGAATGGCAGCCTCATACTCGTAGGGCGCTCCCCCACTAGATGGAGTGACGACATTGTAATGCCGGGTTTACACGCTTGCCAAGTCTCGGCAAGCATCCACAAGCACAAGCATGTAAAGAGGGCATTTGGCTTGGCTTGCGTGAGCTTGTGGACGCTTGTTCCCGATCCGGACTATAATTGCTATAATCACTTATAGTGTCGGTTTTTGAACACAGATCAAAGGGCGCTTGCGGCAAGGGCTTGCAACGCATTCACACGTTGGTGCGCGATGCGCGTTTAGTAGAAATTGTGATTTCGCGACGAGCGCATGGTTAGTTCTTTGTTTAAAATGAGTTTATCGTTTCTGGAATATTACCAGAGCGAATCGTCTATCTGGAACCCAAAGACGTTAATCATAAAAATAAAAAGAAAGTTGCAGATGCTTGGAGTCGACTTGCCGAGTTAACGGGAAAGCTAGTAAAAGAATTAAAAGCCAAAAAAATCCTTGTTTTTGTATTACTTTGCTTGTATTTCAAATAAAAGTATGTTAAACCAAACGCAATAGCCGACACAAGTTCGGTGTCCGCCATGCTTGGGTGATCGTAGCACATTGACACATTCACAAGCATGAAAACGACTTCCAAACGCCAAACGAGATTTGTGGACGCTTCTTGGGGCTTGAAGACGTTTGCCAAGGCTTGGTAAGCATGGAAAGGCACCATAAGAGATGCAAGAAGTGGATGGATGCGGGTGGTTTGTGTCATTCCTTTGGGGATGTTTGACAATGGACTTATGATAGGATAAAAATATTACGTAAAAACCGGTATTAGAGACCTAAAAAGGATAAATAATTTCTACAGGATTTAGAGGCTTCCGATAACAAGAGGCCTGACTTTCTCATGAAATCAGTTTTTACTTTTTAAGGTTAAATTTTTTGACTTTTATTAAATTTTTTGAGAAAATTGAAGTGTCCGTCTCTAATATCGATATAACGGCCTTATAGCTGACGAAGGTAATTTGCATGCCATTGACAACATGAAGGTGTGAAAGAGAAGTTCAAATGTAGATTGAGAGAAAATATGAGTGGTATGGCTGAATTGTGTATGAATGATTTAGACTTGGAGACTGTGTGGTATAATGTCAAGAAAGGTTTAGTGGATGCAGCTACCGAAGTATGTGGTGTAAGCAAGAGAACAAATGAAAGGAAAAATAACACGTTATGGTGGGATGATGAGGTACGGATGGAAGTTGAAGCAAAGAAGAAAGCATGGCTAGATTTACTAGCAACCAAGGCTAGTAATTCTAGCAGTATGAATGATGATATTGAAAGGAAAAAGGCGGTTTTTAGACACCTAAATAAGAGAGTAAAAGAAGTAGTTGAAAGGAAAAAGCAAGAAAGAACGGATAAGAATGATAGAAGGATATCGGATAACTTCCAGGAAAACATTAAAATGTTCTGGAAACTCGTAAGAACTACCAGGGGACATTCACAACAGCCTAGAATGAATGCTATACGAGACCAGAATGGCTGTATTCTGAATGACGAAGTTTTGAGTTTAAGGAGATGGAAGGAATACTTTGAAAGCGTGTTTATGAGTGATGAGACGTTTGAATTAAATGAAATAGAAATTCCGAAAGAAGAGGAAATAGATAGAGATATAAGTATAGATGAAATAATGAAAGCAATGAAAAGTATGAAAGTAGGTAAGGCAGCTGGTTATGATAGAGTATCTCTCGAAATGCTAAGGGCTGGAGAAGGAGTGGTGGCAGACCTGCTGTACACCTTGTTTAATTTATGTTGGGAACTTAAGCGGGTACCGGGAGACTGGTGCAAAGCCGTGATAGTCCCAATATATAAGGGAAAAGGATCACAGCAGGACTGTAAAAACTACCGTGGTATCAGCCTTCTTAGCATTGTGGGAAAACTGTATGCTAAGGTACTAATTGAAAGAGTTATGAAAGAAACTGACGGAAAAATTTGGGATGTGCAAGCGGGATTTAGAAAGGGAATGGGATGTACGGATCAGGTCTTTTCCATGCGCATGATCGCCGAGAAGTTTTTGGCCAAAAACCAAAAAGTTTTTTGTGCGTTCATGGACTTGGAGAAGGCTTATGACAGAGTGGACAGGGATGTGTTATGGCAAACACTGAACTCATTTGGGTTGAGCGCTGGTCTGATACAGGCATTGAAGTCTCTATATAGGGACTCTAGTGCTTGTGTTAGGATCAACGGGGCCTACTCGGACTGGTTTGACATCCATAAAGGTGTCAGACAGGGCTGTGTGGCTTCCCCGTGGTTGTTCAACCTGTTTATGGACAGTTGTTTGGAAAATTTGAAAGTAGAAGAATGCGGGTTAAGAATGGGTGAGTTAACCGTCAAATGCCTTTTGTACGCCGATGATCAAGTCATACTTGCGTCGTCGGCAGCCGAGTTGCAAATGATGGTTACATTAATGAACAGGACATTAAAAGAAAAGGGAATGAAAGTGAACGCAAGTAAGACGAAAGTTATGGTTTTTGAAAGAGAAGAAAGTAAAACGATATGTGAAATAAGAATAGAAGGGGAGTTGGTAGAGCAAGTAGATGAGTTTGTATATTTGGGATGTGTGTTTAGCAGGGATGGTAGATATGATAAGGATATAGAACGACGAGTGAATGCAGGAAATAGAGTGAATGGAGCTCTACACTCTATTGTGAAAAGTCAGAATGTGTCCAAAAAGGCACGTATGGCAATTCACAATGCTGTGTTAGTACCTACTTTAATGTATGGTAGTGAAAGTTGGGTGTGGCAGAAGAAGCATGAGAGTAGAATAAATGCTGTAGAAATGCGGTCATTAAGGAGTATGTTAGGGATGAAGCTGAATGACAGAGTGAGAAATTGTTTAATAAGAGAAGAGTGTGGTTTGCAAGATGATGTTGTGACCAGGATTAAGAAAGGAATGCTTCGGTGGTTTGGCCATGTAGAAAGAATGAATGAGGAAAGAGTGACAAAGCAAATTTATGTTGCAGAGGTGAACGGCATAGTCGGGAAGGGTCGCCCTAGGCGAAAGTTTATCGACCAAATTGGCGATATATTAAAAATGGGCCAAATCAAGAGTACCTTTAACCGACGAGCGTGTATGCGTAGGTATATGGATGTGGAGGAAGCGAGAGAGGTGTGTCAGGATCGTGCCAAATGGAAGTCCATAATCTCTGCCTACCCCTCTGGGTGACAGGCGTGAGTGTTTATGTTATGTTATGTTTTAAGACTTGAATAAGCATTATTAGAATGTTTGTCCGTCTGTCCGGCGTAATCTTCGGAATAGCTGAATCTATTGTAACAAAACT